ATCGCGACATTACAACACAAACTAATAGACCTTTTTTGATGGGATTTACTCATATGTGTTTTGGGCCGGATGCCGGAAGTTGAACGCCGGAAACTAGACGTCCGCGCACAACTCGTCAACGCCGGAGAACCAATGACACTTGGAAAAGCATTACGGGACGTTTTATATTATTATCTAAACTAATAATATAAAAGGGGAATATTTGATTTTTTGTAATTATTTATTTGTTTATTAAACTGTATTTACAGTGCAACGTAATGCAATATTATTACAGCAATTCAAATATAATATACATATAATATTTATATTATTTACATTATACATATGTATTTTATTTATGTCGGCTTTATTCACGTATTGAACTCGGATCTACTTGATTAGTTTCGAATTCAATAGGAGCTTTTATTCATTATTTTTTGTTTGCAATACATAAACTCAAAAAACAAACTGAACCGAATTAACTGATTTTAAAAATTCTTATATTTATAAAAAAAAAAAACTACATTAACAGTGAATAATATGGGCTATATTTTATTTTCAATAAAACCATGTGTAGCTAGTAGTATTATATTTCTGTCTTATGAATCTTAAAATGTCAAACAAGCTGACAGTTCACTTGACTGAAAATAGTATCCATCATTTATAAACATATGTGGACATTTCTAAGAACTATGGTAGAATATAATTTCTATGGAATATGGTGTAATTTCATTGCCATGTTTAAATCTTCAGACCGATACATGAGTGGGACGGAGATTCCGGGTCATTCTAGCTTTACGAGTAGGCAAGACGAATAAGTTCATTTTGATCTAAAAAACCATTTGTATATTAAAATCTTAGATTATATAGAGCATCGAGCTTCAAAAACGGGTCAACTTTTTGTCAACTAATTGTTAAATTAGCTGGCTGGTTTTCTTGTCAGTATTCTATATACTTACGGCTAAAATCTATCTTGACGTATTACTTAATAAAAAAATGAATGTTCACGCATTAATAAGATGCAGAAATTATAAGACAAAATAAATATATAAGTTAAAAAGTCTATTTATCACACAAAATTGTATGAAAAAGTTGACCCGTTTTTCTCGAACCATTTCTATCGAGACACTATTTATATAATATTAAAATGTATCCTTGAAAAAAAAAGATATTTCGGAGAATATCTAATTAGATTGAAAATATTTGAATTTAGAACGTGAAATTGAGGCTGTACACATAGAATTTGGTTTGAAATAGGTTTTTACTATGTAAATAAAAACGTAACTTCAATCATTATAAATTAATACGGAACCAACAAATGGTGAGTATTATCGATTGATAAAAGAATCTCTTTGAGGGACATAACCTTGAAACGGCTCAGATGTCATCCATCATGAATAAAAACCTAAATATAAAAGCTCTTTCAGACGCATAAAGTAATCAAAGTACATCAGGTTACACATTGTACTCTCTTTGACGTCAAACTGATAAGTCGATCAATAAACGGTGTAAGATGTTACAGTCACTCTAACTCAGCCACAGAAAAATGTGGAGTCAACCAAATATTTTATTCATGGCCAAGAATTTATGTGCGGCTCTTAGTTATTCTTAAAAATTTATGGCTATGTCTTCTCTTGTTCATTTCACTTTCACAAAGATGTGTAGTATTATACTTTAGCATCAGTTGAGAGGCGAAAAATACTATCTGTCAACAGTTTTATATTTGTTGAACTAGTATAATTTGTCTTTGATATTTTGGACATTTGATTTATTTATTACAATGTTAATAATTATTTATATACATAAAAGGATAGATTTTATTGTATAGTTTTGCTCTAGTCACTATATTAGTTTATATGTACCAATATTTTTTTCACAACACAGGGCAAACGAGCATGCGGCTCACATGATGGTAAGTGACTACCGCCGCCCATGATCACCCACAACACCAACGGCATTGCAGATGTGCTGCCGGCCTTTTAAAAGGGAATATGCTTATATATATTTTTATCATAACAATCCATTACCACTACTGGGCAAAAGCATAAAAATAGGGACTATTACTTATCCCCATAAGCTCAGTATTGCTACGGTAACTAGGTGTTACATTCTACGCCCGTGGGAAATTTCAAAAAAATATCTTTACTTATTAAGGGAATTCTGTGTAAAATTCCATTGTGCTTATGTATATTTATATATATAAACTTAGTTTTATTATTTTGTTACTTAGTATTATGTAATGTTATATAAAATTATATAAGTAACAAAATTTTTTATATAAGTAAAAAAGTACGTACATCGTATGCAAAGTAGCAGATATATTTTCAATTTACTGAATCGATGTATTGTTCTGGAATCGAAATAAAATTACAATACGTAAACACACGTTTTACGATGTGACAAAAGATGACGAGCAGTTTCAATTTCAAGATATTCCCCATATTGTTTTTACTATACGACTGAAACCTTATCATAGGCTTACATTCAATATTGTCTCGTCATCATGGCATTTTATTTTCAAATCACACGTCACTCAGGAGGCAATAAATAAACCTAAACGATCATAAAACTCGGTCGGCATTCCATTCAATGGTGTTAGCGCCGATTTGTAGGCTCGCCTTACTAAGCTTTAATCTAATTTATCGCCCACTTTATTTCCACTTTGGCTTAGGTTACGGTAATTGAACTGTTCTTACACAAAACTTGTAATGTAAACACACTTGTTGGGTTATATGTTTACACTTAGTTTTTTTATGACTTACAAAAGAAAATTTTCTTAATTTTTTTTAAAGATATGTTACCCAATTACGTCGTAATTTCTAAAAGTGATTTTCATATTTCTTTTTGCATTTCATAGAGTATATTTCCCGATTTGATTTTCCCTCCTGCATGACCTGCTTCGTCTTTCACCCTTTAGACATCGGACGACCAGACGGAGCGAGAGCCTACACCTATACGTTATAGACATACTATTTATATGCATGGAGTATTTTACATCTTCCTTCATCATGCTTATGCCTGTGGAACTCTCTCGTGGCTTATATTTTTCGATTCAAATATAATCTGCACTAATTTAAGGCAAATGTGAATAGGCTATTCGTAGGGTCGTCAGCCTCATCTTAGACCACATCATAACTTTCAATCAGGTGAGATCGTAATCAATAGCTGGACTCATCAATAGTAAAAAAAAACTGCCATGTTAGAAAAAAATGGAAAAAGTTAAAAATGAAAAAAGTTTGGGAAGTAAAATCAGCTTCATTAATACACGCAATATTAATTTTAATGTTACGTATTTGCTTCTATGTAATAAAATTATTATAATACTTTTTTTCCTAGATTTTTTGGATATATATTTAATGATTAGAAAGTACAGTAAATCTCGACACAAGAATATATGTCCACCTTTAAATAGGTACTATAAAAAATTTAATACATATGACGGTATAGTATTTTAAAATAAATTATAACTTTAGGATTTAAGTAGCATAGGACAGGACTGCTTTGGCCACAGGGATGCCTTTGATTAAAAGTTCTGAATATGGAAACTTTTGTATCAAATCGATTTTTCCAATTGCGATTGCGGATTGGTTTATACTTTTTTATGGAATATACTGTCCATCCAGCTGATAAAAAGTGGTAACTTTCATCTACTCGTATAAAACAACATTATAGACAAAAAATTCCCAAGAGACTACAGAATGGAGTTCTTCAAAAGGGGGGTAAAGAGGTTTCTTCAGGACCGGCAACGCGCGCGTAATACCTCTGGTATTGCAGGCGTTCATAGGCTACGGTAACCTCTTACCATCAGGTGGGCCGTATGCTTGTTTGCCACCTCAGTGTTATAAAAAAAAGATTTTTTATAGAGGGTAATTAAAGTAATTACACCCCATTTGATGGTAAGCAGGTAATGCGGTCCAAACGTGAAAGTCATCATCACAGCAATTTTCTCTAAGGTTGTCTTGTTAAGATTGCTTTCAGCAATAAGACCGCTTACTGTACTCATACAATTGTATCGTTTGTCTTACTTATCTCCTATACTGTATAATGCAAATAAAATATACACATTCATTAATTCATTTACACTGTGTTGGCGATCGTTATTTTGTCAGTAAACAAATGCATTTCTTCATGCCCCTTTTAAATGCTGCAAGATTATAGGTAGAAGAAAATACGTCTTCGGAAAGAGAATTCCATAGAAATTCTTATAAAGGAGATAATAATAGGAGTCTTATTGATTTAAACCTGAATGCACAGTACGGGGAGGAAAGGAATAGTTATAGTAGTAGATATAGTTGTTAGTAATAAGGTTAAATAGCCCCATTACTAGCAATATACCCTATCAGGTTCACTTTCACGCAGTCACCTCTGGCAACCATAGTGGTTAATTATTGTCGAATTCATCATGATGAGCTGACGCTGAACTGACTTGTTTTCATTCTCATCTATCATCCCTCACTGGCGCCACGCCAGCGTATACAGATAGCGCAGACGTAGTTACTATTTAATTATCATCCATAAAAAAAATGCACAGTACATATTAATTATTTTTTTAATTCAGTTTACAATCACAATTACGATTATGTTGAGTACTTATATAAATATTGTTCTATAAATATTTCGGCAATTTAATGTTTATTGTCAAATAATACCTCGCATCATTTATCACAAAGAATGGGTTAGAGCCAACTTCATTCTTAGATTCCCAACAGACTTTGTGAAGTTGTCACTCCTGCTTATAGTAGGGTTGTTCTACACAAAGGTAAATACATATACGTTTGTGTTGAGTGATACTGCTCTATTTACCTTAGAACAGAATGTTTTCTCATTTATAAGTCGCTAAGGTCGTTGACCGACAAAATATTAGAACTGTATTCTTTGAAAAATCTTTAAAGAGCTCAACATTCTAAGAAGCCCAGTAAATTAGAAAAATATGAGATACTTTGCCTCGACGCGACCGAAACTTGATGAGATAAGAAGTAAAAATATTTCAACGAAATAAATACTTAAATCGAGTTACTTACCGAATTCTCGTTACTCTTCTTACTACAAAATATCTGTAACAAAGAAATTTCCTATAAATTTATGTTTAATATTCGGAGTCCAAAAGTGTGCCAACTTTACGATTTATTGCGAAAATTCCTTAATTAAACTTTACTTCTCCATTGCAAAGGGTCTTCGGGGGGTTTTTATGGAAAAGTCAATCATCGGTCTTTGGTTATTACACCCACAATAGCACTCTTGGCCGTTGTCCATTCAGACCCATGTCAGCCTCATTGTTATTAGCCTGTTTAGTTGAGAAAATTCAATATCCCTACTCAAAGTTCCATTGATCTTTTGCCGGCTTCGTCTTTTTGCTCTAAATACATCTCTATAGATTCGTTTACACGAGAATGTCAACAATGGCAGTCCAATGTAACCTTTATGAATAATAAATATCGTCTATTCCAAAATGTCTACGAACTTATTATATTAGTAAATTGTTTTACTTATAAAATATTTTTCATTAAAGCTAATATGAGAAGGTTGTAATTTTGATAATTAAACATCTAGATAAAGTATCTCTCTACAAATTACGCGTTCTAATATCTATATATTGAGTTCTTCTGAACATTCACGATGGGAAAAAGGTCATCACCCATTTTATTATCGCTATACCAATCAAATTGCCTTGTGATCTCAGTATAAAATAGGCCACTACTTCCTTCTGTAGCTGTTTTAAGAAGCGATTCTGGAAACTTAATGGTGGAGGAATGGGCAGCAGTGTCCCTCTTAAAACATTTCCAAATGCCAAACTGCGGTAGCTAAGACTTCTGCCAAGCGTGGTAACTACTGGTAGAATACCCCAATGGTAAACTGTCATGAGGAACTTTCCCATTCTTTATGGCAGTATATGGCGGGAGACATTAGTATTAGTATACCGATGAGCTCCGGAACAGACTTGTGTCTGAAATCGAAACACTTCCCTCGATAACAAGTCGAGTCTGGGGATTCTTGGCGTCGATATATCTAGCGACGTCCAGTTTTGTGGTTATCTGGAGGAAAAAGCTAAGATAGCTTCCAAAAAGTTGGGGGTGCTCAATAGGGTGAGACGGTATTTCACGCCAGGAAACCGCCTGAAACTGTATAAAGCTCAAGTGAGGCCACACATGGAATACTGTTCTCACTTGTGGGCAGGAGTGCCACAGTACCAACTCTTTTCATTAGACCGCATTCAAAGTCAGGCAGCTCGAATTGTTGACGATCGGCGTCTTACTGTCCGGCTCGACCCACTGAAACTGCGTAGAGATGTTGCATCTTTGTGCATCTTCTACCGAATTTATCATGGGGAGTGCTCTGAAGAATTGTTCGGATTGATACCTGCTGCAGATTTTCACCATCGTACAACCCGCCATAAACTAAAATTTCATCCCAACCATCTGGACGAGTGGCGGTCCTCCACCGTGCGTTTTTCAAGGCACTTTCTCCTACGCACAAGCACTCTTTGGAATCAACAGCAGCAGTATTTCCGAACCGATACGACAACATAACCTTCAAGAAAAGAGCATATTCCTTTTTAAAAGGCCGGCAGCATACCTGCAATGCCGTAGGTGTTGTGGGTGACCATGGGCGGCGGTAGTCACTTACCATCAGGTGAGCTGCATGCTCGTTTGCCCCCTGTGTTGTAAAAAAAAGTATAAAAATGTTTTTACTACAATGTGAATAATTAATGCATTAACTAAGACTCGAAAATAACTAATTAATATTACCGTGGCCACAAATATTTTAATAAATTCCCAAACTTACACAATCTCTCGTGCGATTAGTTTGCTCTCAAAATCAAATTAATGCTAAATAAAATTGAATTATTCAGCTAAGGTTAAACTCCGATCAAAGACACAATGTAAACATTGTATTTCTTTGAAAACTGTTTTATGTGTACATTTTAATTCTGCTATCAGTAATTTTAATGAGTATAAAAATAATTATATTTAATTTAGAAATATCATAATATGTTATCTTATATTGCCATAATGGTTTAACCAATCAATACGTTTGGTATTCACGTACTATGTGGAACAGAGAAGGTTATATTTTGTAGGCTACTTTTTGTCTTTGTCAGTGAACGTTGCGGGTATAGGCTATTATTATTATCATCGTCATTATCATCATATTAGCCTTTAACTGTCCATTGCTGAATATATGCTATGCCATTGCTGTATATAATCTCCCTTGGGAGATTTTGCCAGTAACTGCCACGCTTAGCAGGCGGATTGGTTTTTTTTTACAACACTGGGGCAAACGAGCATATGGCTCACCTGATGGTAAGTGACTACAGCCGCCCAGTCAAGAGTCAGGCTTCACAGATGTTTTAAGAGAGACACTGCTGCCCATCACTTGCCCTTTCTTAGTCGCCTCTTACGACACCCACGGGAAAGGAAGGGGTGGCCTATTCTATGCCGGGATCACAGGGTCATTATTATAATAGTTAATTATTTATGATTGAAAAAATTCAAAGTGGGTGGGATTTGAGCACGCATTTGGTGTCACAAAAAGCGAATAGCCCTTTTACTTATAGAATTAATTTAATTGTATTAAACGTAGGTTATGACGTCATGTCTAATGTGTAGGTTTAACATTTTCTATATTTAAACCCCTGGCGACCTTCTCGTGGTTAATAAAATAATGAATAATGTAAAAAGGGACCGGAATAGCAGAACAGGGTTAATAGCGAGACCAACAGGTCTCTTTGACGACTTAGAATAAAATTAGAATAATAAAAAAAAATATAATGAAAAATGTTTATGAATCCTTAGTAACATTATAAACGTGAAAGTGAGTTAGTTCATTACCTTTTGGCACTTTAACGGTTTAACTAATCGTTCTAAAATTTGATATTAGTGCACCATTTGAGATGGAAGTGGACAGAGTTTATTATATTACCGATATACATATATTTATATGTATATCGGTTAAGACGGGCGGATTCGTAGGTTAAAACTAATAAATAAATATATCCATGGTTTTAATATAAAATTTAATATCGTTGTGTCATTGGATCTAATTTCATGTGTCGTTTAATTATTAAATAAAATAAATAAAGAAAAAGAAAAAAAAAACATATAGATATATCAGAAAGATGTACAGCAGTGTTATACTTTAAAAAATCATTTATCTTAACAAAATTAGTACAATATAAATTAGTATTATATTAGTAAAGTAAAATACGAGCGATAAAAAAGTAAAATAAAAGTATTATCAAAACTATATTTGTCGAACTTATAACATGTATTCAAAAAATGTATATGGACTGCTAAGTAAGTAAAAGAGATAGAAAAATATTTATTTGGCGCATATCAATAACAATTAAAACTAAAAAATAATCAATTATAAACTTAATGGAAAAGGAAATACAAAAATAAACTTGTACCCAATTAGGAATTATGCGACCAAAATGGTCACCACTCAGCCATATTATATGTGCTCGAACAAAATACCCTTTCAAAGTGTGTTATAAAATAATGTATTTCCCTGTAGAATGTAATTTATAAGTCGCTAATATCTAAAATATGAATCAACAAACTAGTTACGTTCACTACAATTCACAATGATTAGTTTCTAAATAGCCTCCAGAGATACCGTTAGCTATTGCTGTGAAACTTTGTCAAATGTTAATACTGTTTCATTTCATTACTGAAATAATCATCCTAGAGCATTGAATTGTGTTGTAGCTCTGCATTTCAATAACAAATACCAAATAGCCTGCTAATTTGCAATTTCATATTGTTTCATAGTATTACGATTGAATAGCTGTGTTCTGCGGTTTTGTTTTGGTGATTTACTATAAAAAGTACCTTATAACATATAAGGTACTTTTTATATCTAATATAAAATATATTCTTATTTGTATACTATTGTGACATATTTTGATATATGCATAATGAACACCACAGAATATACTCATACCCATGGTGTCCTTCTATGTTGTAGGATGTTCTATGAATCCTGGAAAAATTCGTGGTCAAATTCTTATTGAATTCAATTGAATTCTTATAGAATTAGACGCGGAGTTGCTATTCCATTTTTAATTATCACTCTTAAAAATGCCTCCTGGTTAGTGTGATAATAGTAGGTTAAAATTCTATTTTAATGGAGAGACAACTATGTCTAATATTGCCATTATATTGAATTGTTAATTAATAAATGGTACCTAAACGTCGTAAGTTATTGTACCTGTGACATAATGCAGAACAGAAAATACAGTGTTTTGCAGCTTATAATACAGGGGAAGATCTAAGGTTGCCGAAGATCAAGAAGACACTGAACCTTCTGGTTAAAAATCTAAGGATTAGGAAATCTAATTAGGAATGAGTACCAGATCTTTTTTTCAGGGTGACAGTGGACAATATAAAGAATTCCATGTTGATTGCCGACCTCCAATATGAAATAGTACTTATACTATAAAAATGGTGCCCCAGATTAACAATAGAGAAGATAAACTTTTTAATTTGTATTAACTTCATTACGTGATTATAATTATTATTCATGTTGAAATCGCTATAAGAAATATATCAATTTTTTTTAAAAGTATTGTCTCTGATATAGAATTAAAATTTTTGCGTTAGAAATATACAAGGTTGTATTAATTATGCTTGGAGTCTTTGTTTTTGGAATGTATTTGTATGAAATAATCATTCAGCAATAATCAATCAATACACAGAGTCTGTTTCACTAAATCCTCCGCTTAATACTTCATTTATATTTTCCCTATTTTATTACAAAATTTCTTGGTCCGTAAATTGTACTTTCGCTTTATATGAGCGACTAAATTAACTAGATACAATTTATATTTATAAGTAAGTTTTGTTCCACAGAAAAATATTGACTTCAATCGCGGCAAAACCAAATACAAACTTTTAATTTAAAAACTAAACTATGAAAACAATGCAAAAGTATATTTTTTCAAATAAAAAATAGTCGATTGACAATCAACATTTGGAATACAACATTGTAACAGGAAATATTACAATATTTATTTCGCAATCCTGAAGAACTTTTAATAAAATAATTAGAGTCT